TTGCTTGTGAGCCGCTCTCTCGTCCCGAGGTAATTAACACGACGTAATGCAGCAGTTGGGGGATTCAAAGAGTCCACGGCGTCTTCCGTAGGAAAATGAACCTCGGTACCCAGGCCAAAAGGCTGGGAAGCAAAGGCACTTTTTATCTTTGGTTAAAGGTGCATCATTAAAAGGCACCAGCATAAATTATTCTTCCTTTAAAGAAAAATCCATACAACATTAAGAAAACTACGGAGTATAAAATGTCAGGGGCAGAGACGTGTGGATTTGTAGCTGCTAGTGAAGTAGGCCGGGGGCTCCCCGTGTATCGTGAAGAGCATAAATTAAAAATATTGACTGCATCTCAAATAGCATTTGCCATCAGCTCAAGATTGCGATGTGTTATAGGACCATTTGCTTTTTTAAAAAAATTAAAATATGAATCAAACTTGGATGACAAAGAAGTTCAACTTCTGGAGAAAAAAATCAAATACATCATCAAAAGGTCACAATTCACAGACAAATTGCTCTTAAAATTTATTACTTGTTTGCAAAAATGTACTGTTGATCATTGGTAACTGTTAAATGCTTGGGCGCCTCTGACTATACAGGCACGCGCGCGCGCACACACACACACACACACACACACACACACACACACACAGCACTCTGCATTTGTTAGGGGAGAACTCTCCAGGGGTACCTGAATTCTATGCTGCAGTCAGAGGAGGGGAGGGAACAGGGCTACCAGTCTGGAGCAGAGGTGGGGGCGGGGCAGGACATCACCATCAGCAAAAGCAAACCTCCTTCTTCAGGGGTGAGCGAGAATCTAAAAGGCACAAATGTCTGGCGCCTTGCCTTTAACTAACCCGGATCATGAGGCTTCTAAGAGATCTTGGGAGATTCTGTGCCATTCAGCTAACTGTCCTGAGGCCTTGCCCAGACTTCCTGCAAGCCAGGTGCTTGTACCTTTTTGTCATGCATGTGGAGCTGTGAGGATAGAGGTCAGAGGGGGGGAGGGGATTCATGAAAATCCATTTCAAGTGAATTTCAAGGAGATGGAAGAAGAGGAGGAGGAGGAAGGAGCAGAAAGGAGGAAGAGACACCACTCTACCACAATAGCTCCTTGCTTTGAAAAGATGCTAACCTAGGGTTTGAAAACTGTAGCTTATAGTTCAGTTTGAGGCCCATGAGGCCTGTCCCATGAGTGTCAAACCACCATCGCTATCATCTCCTGAGATTTGGACAGGACATGGTAGTAGAGTGGCAATCTTCACCCTCTAGACAGAACCTTGGGGGTCATTTCCTAGGTTGTGTCTTAAATTGGACTTTTCTTTTTTAAGATCTTACTACAAAAATTTTCAGAAACACAATTTCATTTTCACTATGGCCTGTGAGAAATGAACTTTCATGCATTTATACATGCATACATACATCCATTCCTCCATTCATCTGCACATTCATTCATTCATTTATCCATCTGCCCACTACCTATCATCCATCCATCTACCCACCAATCCATCCATCCATTCATCTATCCTCCATCCATCCATCCACCAATCCATCCATCCACTTATCCATTCTTCCACTCACCAATCTATCCATCTACCCACCAATCCATTCATCCATCTATCATCCATCCCATCCACCAGTCCACGGATGGATTGTTGCGAGGGTGGGTGGATGATGGATAGATGGATGGATTGGTGGAATAAAGGGAGATGGGATAAGACAGGGCTCAGAGAGACATTTACCTTCTCTGAAATGAAGAATAGCCTCCTCTGTGTTCCTGTCCAGCAAACTGAGTCTTGACTGTTTCCTTTCCAGCTAAGAGGGACTGACTCCAGGGCAGAGGCTACATCCCCAGGTCTGCAAGCATGGAGCATCCAATAAGAACTCCAGAGAGTGAAGGGAAAGAATGACTGAATGGATAAGTGGATCTCCAGTCTTGTCCTCTGAAAAGCTGTCTCTCAGCTCTTCACCTCAAGGCTAGCACTCTACCACTTGAGCCACTGCGTCACTTCTGGTTTTCTGAGTCGTTTATTGGAGATAAGAGTCTCACAGACTTTCCTGCCCAGGCTGGCTCTGAATCACAATCCTCAGATCTCAGCCTCCTGAGTAGCTATAATTACAGGCATGAGCCACCATGACCCAGCAACAGCATGAACTTTTGATAAATGTTTACTAAATTAACTTATGGGTAGGCGGATGGATGGATTGGTGAATGGATGGATGGATTGGGAGAAGGATAAATGGATGGATTGGCAGATGGATGGTATGGATGGCTGGATGGTGGATGGATGGATTGATGGGTAGATGGATGAAGGATGGATGGATTGGTGGATGGATGGATTGGTGGGTAGATGCATGATGGATGAATGGATTAGTGGATGAATGGATAGATGGATGGATGGTGAATGGATGATAGATTGGTGAGTGAACGGATAAATGCATGGATGATGGGTAGTAGGGGATGGATAAATCAATGAATGAATGGATGGATGGATGGATGGATGGAGAGGTGGATGCATGCATGTATAAATGTATAATTAGGGGGAGGATGAGAAAGGATGGGAAGGGGAAACAAAGGAGGCTACAATGCTTGATAAGAATTGTACTCTTTATCTTGCCCATGTAATTGTAACCCCTCTGTACAGTATTTTCACAATAAAAAAAAGAAAAAGGAAAAAAATAAATGCATAATTAAGTGGCTGTATATACTGAACTTCAGGGCTTGAGAGAGGATTCCTATGTGAGATGGGGTTGTTCTAAATGACTTGGAAACATCTCAGTCAACTCTGGGACTCTGGTTGTCTGTAGGCTTCATTGGTTGCTTCCAATTTGCACAAGTTTTCCCACATCATCCCCTCTGTAAGACACATGATTTTTTTCCCTCACTTGTACCTCACCTTCCTGGTGAATCCTCACTCATCATTCAATCCTCCTCATCTTCCTCCTCCCCGTGGAGATAGCCTTCTGTCCGTCTGACTGAAAGAATGGTTGTTCTCCTTTCATTTTACAGATGGGGAAACTGAGGCTGAGAGAAGGGAAGGGAAGACCTAAGATCATGAAGCTAGTTACCAATGATACTGATGAGTACTGGACGGACCCTTTCCTTAGCCCCATGGATGATCCCCAAATACGAACAATACCTGTGGAGGCCACGCATTCATTAGTGTTATGTCTCTTCATACCATTTGCAGAAGTGTGCCACAGTGTAAAGCCCCCTTGTCACTCCGTGGTGAGACTCGACCTCAGGACAATGGTCACTGGACACAGAGGAACATCCCATTCTGGTTTCTCCTATTATGGGCAAAACCTACAGAGCACCCTAGTGAGCGTGACTTAGTACATCCATTCTCTGGGGTTTCCTTGTGACTCTTGGGCTTCTAGCTTGGTACCTGGTTGATGAACAATGCCCATGAGAGTTTGCAGGAGTGGTTTGAGTGGAAGGCTCATTGTCTTTCTAAGAGTAGGGAAATAGAGGAAGAGAATGATCAACAACAGACCAAGGGTCCGTCCCTTTGCATTTAGGTGAGCTCTGGCTCTTACCCATACAGAGAAAACCAGAGGTACCTTCCTTCCCATCTGGTTAGATCTACACCCAGGAGTAGAAGGACCAACTTAAATAACGGAAATTTTGTTCTGCAAAGCCTGACTTTGATTGTCCACTTCTCCCTGCTCCTGACTTCAAATGTCCAACTTTGTTTGCTCATGTCCAGCACAAGGGAAAAAAAGGGAGTCCTGGATGGTTTGCTAAAGCTCACGTGTGGTCCAAGCAGCTGATTTGTTGCTCAGCAGCCCCTTTCTTACATGCAAAAACCAAGGGCAAGGGCACTGCCCCCAAGTGCACAGAGCTACTGATACTTGTAGGGCAGGGCCGCATTCTCCCTGGTTTCTGGTCACTGAGAGTTCAGGAAATGTCAGTGGAATGGCGTCAGACGTGAGTCTTATCATCTCCATCTGGTACCTTTTCTTTCGATCTACCTGTTCTTGCTTGACTGTATTGAAGAATCCTCTAGATCGCTTTCAAAACTGCTGGCCCCAGGACCCACCTGCAGAGATTCTGATAGAATCTGTTCCAACGCTGCCTGGGTACAGAGTTTATAAAGCGCCCCTCCCCGCCCCCCAGAGACCCCAGCATGAACAAACCCAGCATGAAACTGTTCTCAAACACAGTTCCGCCAGCATCTCCTCTCCTCCAGGACAGGGGCTTAAGGGTTTGGGTCAGCAGAAAAATGGAGAAAGCCCTTCAATTTGCCCTTGAAATAAGCTGTCCACTCCCCACCTTGAAAAGACACAGAAAAGGACAAGATTTGGAGATCAAGTTAAATGTCCAATTTATTTTTATAACTTGAAACCAGAACAAACTTGGTTTTGAACAAGCGTACAAATGAAATGGCAGACACATGCTCAACTCAACATTGTGACATTAAGGGAAAAAAGAGGCCCAAAATCTTGTACAGAGAATAAAAGGAACAATAAATATTTTTTTTACTAAGCCATATTGAAATGACCTCTAGTCATCTCAATATTTTATCCATACTTAAAAAAAAGTGCCTGTTTTTAAAACAGAGCACAAATACCAAGCAATAATAAATAGTTCCAAACTTGTAGTAAAAGACAAAACCTCTAAGTAAACAACAAAAGCTCATACAATAATAGAAAAAGGTAATAAAAATATTTCGCCTGGCCAGTACAAATGCAAACAACTGAAATCAATGGGACTTTGCTTTGCAGGGCTGAGATACAAAAAGCACCAAAATCACGGATTTGCCTGTGTTCAACAAAACCTTTTGGACAGAAGGGCGGGATGAAAGGCTGACTTCCTCACTTCACATTTTGCTTAAAGTAATCCTTGTCTTCTCTCCCCATCAAAGACCCCCCCAATGGCAAATGGCAGGTTCCAGTGGGGGAGGGGCAACTTTGGGCAAAGTTTGTGGCAGTGTGGAACCCGGCCTGAGGTGGGCTGGGCTGCCCAGGCTAGAGCCCTTTCGCTGGGTCACCTGCTTTAGGGTGGGTTTTTTTTTTCCATTTGTTTCTTGTTTTAAACTCCGAAGAGAGTTTAAAAGAAGTTGAGAGAGACACACAATCCTTGTGCTTTAGGATGGCTTAGTCCTGGCATTCTGGTGACTTGGTGGGAAGCTGGTGAGAGAGTTGGCTAGCGTTGAAGACCGCAGGAGGCCCACAGAAAGGCCCCTGAGCAGCTAACAGGGCAGAGGAAAGGCAGGGCAGCACTGGGCCTTGGGGGCATAAAGGCGGAAAAGAGCTTGCTCTCCACTCCCTCCATCCCTTCTCACTTTGCAAAGGGAAGTGGCCAGGAGATGGTGGACAAGCTCCCAGAGGAAAGATCTCTGCATTTAGTAAGGAACTTCCCAGAAGGATACATGGATATACACTTCCAAAACCTGAAATAATGGTTCCTTACATTTCCTGAAATTAAAAAAAAAATTAAAAGGTGGGGGTGGGGGGCTTCCTGATATAGAATCTTAAAGCTTCTTGGCTTTACCAAAAATAAAAAACAAAAAGTGTGACTCAGAAGGACAGAAAAGGCGAGAGAGATGAAATGAAATAAAGATGAAATGCACAGATAAGGGACTGACCCACAGAGGCTGGAGGACAGGGGGAAAGAGGAAAGAGAGAGGGAAGGCACCAAATTCATTCATCCCAGGCCCTTGTCATTCCGTAACTGACTGAATGGAGGTTTCAGAGAGAGAAGCAGCAAAGCAGAGAAGAAAACAGGCCCACACTCTCCATGGAACAAAGGTGCCAGTTGCCTGGTTGAGAGTCTCCTTCCCAGATCCCACGCCCCACGCTGGTCTCCAGCTTTATTTCCTAGCTCCTCAAGCACTAACTCAGATAGCTGGAGTCATTCCCTGTGCTCCAAGGTGAGGAGCCAATGACCACAGTCCGAGCAAACACAGGGAAGGGAAGGGAAGTCACTTGCTTCTCCTCATCTGATAGACAACCTGGCCTCTTAGAGGAAGGAGGGGGGACTTGGTGGAACGTTCCTGACATCTTTACAAAACAGGATTTTTCTACGAAGACAAATAAAGCATTTCTCATCCAGTCTGCTGTGGCTACCCCAAGGAGCCCTGGTACAAGATTGAGGGCATTCTGATGAACCGAAGCCCAACTCCAAACAGTTCTTTGTGTAGGCCAATTCCGACAAAAAAAAATATATACAACTCAAATGACTGGTGAAACAAAGCATTTAACTACTTCCTTTTGTTTCTTTTTCTCAAAGGTTGTCAAACAACCCCTTTTTCTTTTTCCTGTACAATAGGACTTAACATACAAATTTTTTTTGCAATATTTTATCCTGCCAAATTAAAAAAATATATTATGGCAGCCTGTTTGTTTTTGTTTTTTTTCTTTTTATTTCCAAATTCACTAACAAAAAGGTACATTAAATCCTTTTAAAAGGACAAGCTTACAGTTAAAAAATTACAAGCTCCAGTAAAAATACAGCAAGTGCCTACATCATGTGAACCAACCAAAATATCCACTCCTTAGGGAGGTGGGGGAGAAAAATAAGTACAGGTCAGAAATGTGATTTTTTTCTGCAAAGCAATAACAATATTAAGCACTTTTTTTCTACATACTTTTTCTACATGGTGTAGCAATCCCCTTTTAATCCCCAAATACAAGTTTCTATACATTTTTTTTGAAATAAAAATTCAACACCCAAGGCAGGAAAAAAATGTACTAAAACTCCGACTTTACAGTTACTGTGACAAGAACAAATTTATAGACCCACCATTTAAATTGTACTGCAACATTTTTCAAGGAAAAGAAAAGGTGTGTTTTTTTTCTTGTTTTGTAAAATGCCCAGGCATTCTCGATTATTACAAATACTGGTCCACTTTTACAGTAATCAAGAAATTTTAATATATATAATATATACTAAAACCCCATCACCAAAAGAAAACAATATACACGCAGCCATTGCGGCATTTTTTTAATAACCTATGAAGCAAACTTTGAAAAAAAAATTATCGCTCCAACACACATACACACAATTATTTTTTTTTACCCTTGTATGTATCCAATACTGTAAACGTATTTTTAAGACAGAGTGCACTAAATTTAACTTTAGAAAAAAATTAGCCGTTGTTCCTGAATGGTTTTTTTCATTCAACAATATCAACATGTGTCACTTGAGTTTTAAATCAGCAGTAAAAATCACCTCCACTCCACACCTAAGCAGCGTTGTCCCAAAACAAAGGGGGCTGAGGAAAGTCCAGCTATCGGATGTCCACGGTTGTGTTGGGTTTGTTTCTTCATTTGATTGGGTCTCATGGCATTTACAAGTCCTCTATCTTCAACCAGGAATTTTTAAAAATTATTTTTAATTAAAGGTGACTTTGTTTCTAAAGAATGTATTTTTCTTGTATTATTTTTTAAAAAGTCTTTCATTTCCACAAAAAAAAAGGGAAAAAAGAAAAACAAGTTTTGCATTTGTCTCAAGAGACTCAAATAGGAAGATCAGTTTTCAAGGCACTCATGTCAAATTGAATGGCAGTAGAAAAACTGTCCAATAAATTATCATTTTACTTTTTTTTTATAGTGCCAGCATTGTGAATGCCACGCTTAGCAACACTGACACTCAATCTCAGCTGTCCCTTGCAGTTGAACCCACCTCTGGGCCAAAGAGAAAGAATATGCTGCAATTTCTTGTTTAGAAGCCATTTAATTTAAATGCAAACAAAAGCTTTAAAGTGCGGGTCAACAGAATCAAATGTCTAATCTGAATGATCCAATGTTTCGTCCCTTCCAACCTAATCGGAGATGAAACACAAAAACAAAAACAAAGGGGGAAGTAGCGCTGGGCCCCTTCAGCTGGGGTCTTCCCCTGCTGGCTAGGAAGAGGGGAACAGGAGGAGGCAGGCGCCCCGTCCTGCCCGGTCGTGCCGTCGGGATCCACCATCAGGGCGCTGGGCGCGTCCGCTCCGGGATCGAGTACCGCTTGGAGCAACACGAACCTGGGCCTGGAGCTGTCAAGTCAGAGGACGCCTGCGCCAAGTCCACCGGTTTCTTCCTTTCAGTGTCACTGCGGGCCACGGACCACTGACCGGCCCAGCCCATTCCACACAGCCGATCCCACAGCAGAGGGCCGAGCGCATCTCCCCGGGCCCAGCCCAGGTCCAGGGAAGGGGTGAGGATCTGCTGGTAACTACCAGGAGTGGTGCCATGTTCCATCCAGGGCCCTTTTGGGGGCAGCCTGGAAGCTGGGCTTCTCTCTGGATACTGAGTTAGTTAGTTGGGGGGGGTCCCTTCCCTAGCTCACCCCCCACTCCCAGGTTTCCCTTCTATAACTTGAAGTCAATACAGAAAAAGGCCTCGGGGACCAGGGCCCCCCCGCTCAGTGCTACATCTCCATTCCGCTTCGGACACAAAGTGCTACGATTGTAAAGATTGTTATCCGCTGTACATCCACCCCCTCCCCAATAAAAACAAACTTTAAAAAATGTCCCCCCTCCCCAAACACATGCCACTTTTTAAATTTCAGAACAAAAATCATCATCAAGGAAGGAATTTAAAAAAAAAAGTAAACAACTTTAAAAGTCATTTAAGTGTTGGCTTCTTCACAAGAAATTACACATGCTTAGCTTAAGTTTCAAAAAAGCAGCGGCCCCCCCACACAAAAAATTATAATTTAAAAGATAGGTTTCCCTCTACATTGCTTTTGAGTCCTTGTTCAGACTACTGGGTGGAGATTATTTTTTTGTGGGTTTTTTGTTTTTGTGGTTGTTGTGAAATGAAGAAAGGATGGATACCCAACAAAATCTTTTGAAAGGAATTTAAACAGAAAGAAGAAGAAGTAAAAAGAAAAGTACCTGCACATGCCCAAAAACTTACAAAAACCCAATAAATACAGAAATTATTGCACAGTTAAAAGGCTCCACAATTTTTTTTCTTTTTTTTTTTAAAACTGCCTTCATCAGGCTTCGGGTTTCCATAGGACTTCGCAGACACAGGTTAGGTTGGAGTGCCACCGCCTTCTTGGGGGTGACCCCCCCAACCCTCACCACCATCCCCGGGGTGGGGGTGACGCAGCAGGGGCGCTCAGTGGCGGTGACGCGGGGTGGGGCGAGTCAGGTCAGCATTCTCTCGGTTGGCAATGGTTCCACTGTACAGGTGCGGGGAGCCTGGAGGTGTGAGGGGGAAATGGGGTGTGGGGTGGACAGGGGGATGTGGGAGGAGACCACCCTCCCCCTGCGCGCATGCGCGCTGGCGTGTGTGCTGGCGTGCGGGCATGCGCGCTGGCGTGTGTGTGTGCGCGCGCGTGCGCGCCCTCGCGCGCTCAGCTCCTCTCGGCCTGCTCGATTTTGACGTCGTTCGTCAGCAAGTGCTCGCCGTGCCACTTCTTCATGTGTTTCTCCAGGGTGCTGTAGACGCTGAAGGGCATCTGGCAGATGTCGCAGCGGTACACCTCCTTGCCGATCTGCCCGTGCGTCTTCATGTGGCGCGTGAGCTTGCTGCTCTGCGCGCACGCGTAGTTGCACAGCTCGCACTTGTAAGGCCGCTCGCCGGTGTGGCTCCGCCGGTGCACCGTGAGGTTGCTGCAGTTCTTGAACACCTTGCCGCAGTACTCGCACGTGTCGCTGCGCCGGCCCTCCTTGGAGCTGGGCCGGCCGGGCCCAGGCCCGCCCAGGTGCGGCGTGCTGCCCCCGCTGGCCGTCCCGCTGCGCCCGGACAGCCCGCCGTCCAGCAGGTCCCCGGGCGGCGTGGAGAAGCGCAGGCTGCCGTTCTCCGACGAGTGCTCGGACGACGTGGCGAAGGGCGACTGGCGCGCGTCCGTGAAGCCCAGGAAGGGGTCCTTCATGAAGTGCCGCGAGGCCGCGTAGCCCACCAGCCACTGCGAGTACACGTTCTCGGACGGGATGAGCGCGGCGGGCGGCAGCTCCAGGTCCTTCTCCACCTTGATGCGCTTGGCCGCGCTGTTGAGCCCGGGGCTGGGCAGCGGCGCGGGCTTGCGCGGGAAGAGC